GTCTAAAGACCCTAGCTGCTCCATCTCTCCAAGTCATCGTCTCTGCCTCCATCTCAGCCATCACTACTTCTCTGGGTAGGGTCACGCTCTCCGCTCTTCTCCCTTGATGGTTCCAGGGACTTCTGCTCCTAGACTGAAAGTTAATCACTTCCCTCCTTGCTACAAAACATCTACCTTTACATTTCCAACCCTCACAATCAGTCCTGATAACAATTATTCACTATTGTATTACAAGACACCTATCAAGTATAGTCTTTTTACCATACACTCACCTTTCTTCATTGTTTTCCATCTGATTCGGGAAAGCAGCAAAATCTAGTAGTAATTTAATGGCATCAAGGTATCCATTGTTACAGGACCAATGCAAAGCTGTTCTTCCCTACAAGCAAAAATAAAATCCAAGTACACCTGGAGTGTGTATTTTTGGACCTATGATAACTTTTGCGAACTCAAAAATGTAAACAATTCTCCCCAAAACTGATTCATTACAAAAGAAAACATATTAAGTATACAGTAGGAAAAAATGGGTGGCATTGTAACAAAAATGATCAAAATTAACACTACCTTAAGAGGTATCATATGCCTTCAGAATAACCTGAGAATTATTCAATATCACTTATGAAATATTCAAAACAAAAATGTAATTTAATTAAGAGGAAACACAGGATGAACCCAAGTTCATTAAAATTCAATAAAACACATGGCCTATATTTTAAAACAATTCCAATGACATGAAAGATAATTAGTAAGGCATGAAACACTACTAGAGATGAAGAAGATATTTCGTAATGTTAAAAGGAAAATATCACAATCCTAAATCTACATGTTGTTGCTATTGTTAAGTGCCATCAAATTGGTTCAGACTCAGAGTGACCCTGTATATGGTTTCCAAGAAGTGGCTGGTGGGTTTGAACTGCCAACTTTGCGGCTGGCAACCTTGTGCTGATCCTACAGGAGTCCTATGCAACTAATAATGTAGTTTTCAACTATATAAGGTAAAATTGACAAAGCTAAAAGGGAAGATAGTCAAATCCATAATCAACATTGGAGATTTTAACTCATCTTTTGTAATAGATGATGGTGGTGGTGGTGGCTATGTGCCATGGAATCGGTTCTGACTCACAGCAACTCTGTACAGGGTTTCCGAGGCTGTAAATATTTATGGGAGCAGAAAGCCTCATCTTTCTCCCATGGAACAGCTGGTAGTTTTGAACTGCTGACTTTGAGATTAGCAGCCTGATTCATAAGCACTATGCTACCAGAGTTTCTTTGACGGAACATACAAAAGAATGTTGATGACTATTTTAAATGGACAAAGTATTTGTAAAATCATGTTTATATGTACATATACACACATATTTGGACATATTGTCCGGAGGGAACAGTCGCTGGAGAAGGATGTCATGCTGGGTAAGGTGGAGGGTCAGAGAAAAAGAGAAAGACCCCTAACGAGATGGATTGGCCAGGTGGCATCATTGATGGCATCAAGTGTGGCAGTGGTAGTGAGGTTGGCCCAGGATCGGACATTGTTTCATTCTGCTGTGCATGGAGTCGCTATGAGTCGGTTCCAACTCAATGGCACCTGACAACAACAACAACAATACACACATAAATACATTTGTTGTTGTTGTTAAGTGCTGTCGAGTCCTTTCCAACTCATAGTGACCACGTATAGAGTTTCTGAGGAGTGGCTGGTGAGTTTGAACGGCTGACCTTGTGGTTCAATCCGACCTTGAAGTTGAGTGCTTATCCTATGGCACCACACCGGGACTCTTATATATATTTTCTGTAATTTTATATGTTATAAAGTGATTTCCATTCTGTAAGATTAAATTATATATAAATATAGACAGATACTAAGGAGCTCTGGTAGCGTAGTGGTTACGAATCGGGCTGCGAACCTTAAGGTCAGCAGTTTGAAACTACCAGCTGTTCTGCAAGAGAAAGACGAGGCTTTCTGCTCCTGTAAAGATTTATAGCCTTGGAAACCCTGTACAGGGTCACTATGGGTCGGAACCGACTCGACAGCATTTAACAACAACATAGACAGATACTGGATGAGATCATGGACAAGTAAAAATAATTTATGACTAACAGATGGATTTCTGTGTGACCATTTAGTAAACTATTGTTTTAAAATAAAGACGGAATATTCTAAAAATTCTGAAAAAACGTAACTGAATTGAAAAGATGTGGGATTCCTACCTCTTTGTCTTGAATGTTGGGGTCTGCATTATTTTCCATGAGCACTGCCATACAGTTGATATACCCCCCATATGCAGCACATTGCAAAGGAGTTCTTCCTGCATAATCTTGCACATTTGGGTTGATCTTATTTTCTATCAGTATCTGGCAAACGTTGGCATTTCCTCCCAGTGCTGCCCAATGTAGAAGAGAATGTCCACCTTGGTCCACTAGATCTACTCTTGCTCCACCTGGAAAAGCAAAACCATAATGAATATAGCTAATATAT